AGAATGGGTTTGTCAGTCCTTGGTTTTTTATTCACAACCCCTAGAGCGCGTGCTCTGGGTTTGTGAATGTGAGCGGTTGTGCTCAGTTTCTCAGGGCTTGGTGTGGTGGTGGGCGCTGAGGAACTGGAGTTGTGTTTGCGTGGTTGGTCTTTACCAGAGTCTTTTGTTTTGTCCTTGGGTTTGACGTATATGAGGTTTGGACTGCCCTCATGCTTCATCTGCACCCTTGTGCTCAGGGCCGGCGCAACCCATTAGGCGACCTAGGCGGTCGCCTAGGGCGACCGTGGCGGTATTTCAGTGGCGGGACCTTCCGCTGGCTCGGTGTGGGGGGGGGGGGGCGGCATTTCGGGGCTGGACCTTCCGCTGCCTAGGGCGGCAGAAAAGCTGCCGGCGCTCCTGCTTGTGCTGTTTTGTGTTAGCGTTGTTAAAGGTCTCAAAGCAGATTCCTGGTTCTTTGGCGGTTCTGGTGGAGGTGTCCCTGTAGCTTCGACTACAGCATCGTCAGGAAAGCTGCCCGTGCCTATGAGGGAGGAGAAAAGACATTTTACGAAACTGAACTTTACCATCTTTCTCACCCACACCTATGGATTTACTTAAAATACAAAACCTCATGAAACAACCAAACAAATAAGCAAAATATATTTACTGGGCTTCATCCATGCATCAGTCATTGATGCTGGTGAATTTTCCTTTTCAGCTGTCTCTTTCCTTTTTCTTCTGAGCTTGTTTCCCCTCTCATGTTTTGACCGTACTGTGAAGCAAACAACATTATAAAACACATGAAACTGTCTTGTAAAGTTAAAAAAATAAAATATTCGTTAGGGTGTTTTTCTATTTGAAAAGTCACAGCTTTAAAACAGAATAATCCATTTCAGACTGTACAACAAACACAGGTTTTGAGTTTATTTCTACCGCTTTAAAAAACAAACCCACAAACATTTTGTAAAAGGACATCTCATTTTGCAAAATAAAAACCAAACTGCTTTTAAAATCCATAGAAAATACTTTACAATAAACCCACATGCGTTTAAAAGGCACATGGTTGTTCTGTCCACCACCACCCTGCCCCCACCCCTGCCATGTGTGTTTGGGCCTTCAGGTTAAAGAACAAGCAAAAATGTTAAGTTAGGATTACCCCCAAATCCCTATACAACCTGTGTAATACCTGAAAGGTTTTTTTTTTAATTTAACAGTATTAAGCACATCTATAGTTAAAATGGTTTTTACCTTGGCCTGGTGGTGAAATGCAGCTTCAAGTTCCTGGTTCCATGCTAAACAGATCACACTGCAATAAAGCCAGGCACCATTATTTACTAAGACGGCATGGCCAAAGAATGGCATTATAGAATATCTATTTTCAGAGTTCAAAACAGGGCGCATACCCCCTCTTCCAGCCCAGCAGCAATTCAAGAGCGTTTCTGTTGAAAGAGACAGGTTCCAGCTCCCTGAGGTTTTTATACCATCCTAACTCTTTGTTTCAAAATAATCAGCAGGTTGATTGGCTCACCCCTCCCTAGCATTCCCTTTTGTGGTCTGGGCTGGGGGAATACGTTGTCTGCACAACTGGGCTGCTTTTCTTTTCTTTTAGTTCAAATACATTTTTCTGTAGGGCCTCTTACAGTGTCCTTTCCAAGTGGGGGCCCTTTGCAGAGCTCAATGAATGTCTTGGGGCTTGTTTTTTATCAAGGTCCCCCCGGCGCTAAATGTTCTGGGGTTAGGCAAAGACATTGCGTAGCATAACCAATGGCAATAACAGTGTTTAATAGGATTTCCAAACACAGCTCAGCACACAGGCCCCCGAGTTTGCAGTTTATATCCACTGAAGTCCAAGTCACACAGTCATGGTGCCGTTGGCCTGATGCATCTATGACACAGTCGTCACAATCTTCAAAAAGCTTTTCCCTAAGGCAGTGATTAAGGACAGCATGAACAGCAACGCGTACAATAATCCGCAGGACTTTTTTTACGCTCACAACGTGGCACTGGCTCAGTTAGTTCCATGCCAAGCCTCCTCCTAAACTCCTCATAGCCGTCATCCTCGGAGTCCTCTTCAACAATTTGTATCGGCGTTGAGCAAAACCAAGGTAGGCCCAGTTCATCTTCGCTGCTTGATGCAACGCTGTCCAGGGCCTCCTGCTCCTCTAGAAAGGCATCGTCGAGCTGTCGAGAGATTTTCAGAAAAGAAACAGTGTAAATTCCCACTGCTTGTTTTTAAATTTACATAACCCCCCCCCCCCCGGTTCCTAACCCCATTGCACCCCATCATCAACCGTCACTTCTTAATCACTCATTTACCTGAGCGAAGTCTTTTCTGTTCACCTTGTCCTCCGGTGACTCCACCAAGCTGTGTTCGCCTTCCTCCTCCAGGGGGATGGACGACAAGAGGCCACCACACTCATCAGGGTGTCTCACAAGCAGTTGGGTTTCGGGTTCTGGCGTATCCATCAGCAGCTGGGCCAAAGGGCCCCCCTCGGTTGCTCCCTCCTCCTCCTCGGAACTGTCGCTGATGTAGCGCTTTCTCCGCGGATGGTCAAAGGCCCTCGGGGCTAGAACAAAGTCCAAAGTTCTCACGGGAGTGGTGAAGGAGTCCATGTTTCCACGATTTCTAAAGCACGCGTTCTTGGTAAAAGATGGCCTCTTCTGCCCCGGTGCTGGGACTTATGGGGTGATGGTGCTGCACTCTGATTGGCAGAGGGCGCTGGGAGGAGTTTTTAAAGGGGTCACACGACCCTCTTCTGGGCGGGTCACCCCGCCCTGGAACACCCTCGATTGGTCAGATCTGCTCCCGGGGCAGTCCTATACGACCAAAACCCATTGCAATTGATAGAGGGCGGTGGGAGGAGTTCTTAGAGACAGGGCCAGCTCCAGGCACTAGCCAACCAAGCATGTGCTTGGGGCGGCGCCTGGAGGGGGGCGGCGCGGCGGGGCGCGCCGGCCCGAGAGCGGGGCTGCTACTGGGTTCGCCGCCCTCCCCGCGGCGCTCTGGCCGCCGGGGGCTCTCCGCTCTCCTCCCGGCGCTCTGGCCGCCGGGG